CCCCCCCAAACTTAACTCCCAACCAATGTGGGACTTTGGCATTTTGCCAAACTTCAACAAAGTACAGAGGGGGTGAGGCCATCGTCCACCGAGTTTCGTGTGACACTGGCCTCAGGGATTTCTCCATTATATCAAAAGAACAAGTAGTATCGTTCTAGCCAATCAACAAAACAGAAGTAAACGTAACAAGACTTCTGATGCTTGATATTGCAAAAGCAGTGTTCCTGCCAAAGCACATTGATAGTTTATAATGCTCATTTAGAATTTACATATTCGTCTATTTCAATGTCTACCTAGAAAAAACCCCAAATGGTATCCTAATGTCACGGTGTATACTTGAGTTATGTTTTACAGAACCGGGTCATTTAAAAGGTAATTACAGGTAACCAGTGGCGGAGCCACATTCAACCAAGGGGTGTCGATTCGCCGGCAAATTACACTGCATTGCTAGATAATTTTTTTGTTATATGTATATTTATTATACGTTGACTCCCTTTCACTTTTTGGTATATTTAATTTTTTATATTTTGACACCTCTTGGTGAAAATTCAGGCTCCGCCACTGCAGGTAACTCTAGTCTCTATGTAATCACTGCTTACTTACCAATAACATGGATTAATTAAATTACACTAATGCTGTAAGCATCCTATTGCAAAAAAAAAAGTTGAGAATTTCCATATACATGGCTGCAAATGCAAATATAAGGTAACCATGAAGTAGGAGAAACATTCAAAACTATCCCCTAGAAATGCAACTGCACATTAGGTGTATAATTAAAATTCATTTCATTGCGAACCCCTTCTCTTTTTTTTGTGCCGGAAAGATAGCTGTCGAATTTAAATGTTTTGCTAGAATGTGGAGAATGATTTATGTGGGACCATATTTGTTGCTTTGGTTTTGGTGGGATTGCAGCGAGAAATCTGCTGAGATTCAGTCTTATTATAGATGGTAATTCTAACTTTAGGACTTTGCTTGGAACTAGAAAAGAGAAGGGAATGGAAGGAAAAAAATACAAACACTTTCCGTACTTCTTAACAATATAAAGAGAAAGGAAGAAGAGAGTAACAATTTTTGGATCCACTAGTTTTCTCCCTATTGTCCTCTATTTTCCGTCTTTGTATTTGTCCCTTCCTTTCTCTTCCATTCCATTGTTACTGAAGATAGGGCTAAGCTTCATCAAGTTAGAACTTTTAACTGAAATTAGAATGCCACCAATAAAAAGAAAAGAATTAGAATGTTAAGGCCTGGCATTTTGTAGCATTCTTTTACAATGTGCAGGATTCTCATAATATCAGATTTGTTCCTTTTTTTTTTTTTGGTTAAACTTCTTTCTCCTATGATATCTCAAATATGCAGATTGTTGACTTAGAAGAAAAGAAAAAGGAAGCTCTTGATAATGAAGCTAAAATAAGGAAGCGAAATCAAGCTATCACAAGTTCAACATCAAACGATAACATCTTGAAGAAACAAAGCATCAATGATATCTTTGAGGAAGATTTTGAGGTGATATTTTGAGCTTTGTTACCTTTTAGAAAAGCAGTTGCATTTCTGTTGTCATTATTGTTTGTTATTTTATTTTTTCTTCTCTATACTTTTCTTTGCTCTCCTTTACTCAATTATATCCTTATCCTTGACCAAACTTGGATAAGCGTTGATTTACTTGAATGTAAGAAATATACCTACCCTAGATGCAGTGATAAGAAATATACTTTGCATGTGATCACTTTCAATCATCATAAAATCACACATGTAACTAAAGATCTATGTAGGACATGGGTAAATTATTTCTGACGGCATTCTCTATTTTATCTTCTCTGTGTTGCTTGCACTTTCTGTTGAATGTAATCATTTCTAATTATATGTCCAATTGTATAAGTATGCCGTCATCTTAACATCTGTTCTGTTTATGCCATATTCATTTTGTGGATATGTTGGACTGCAACATCAGTTCTAACGTAATATTGTTGGTCATATAACCATCCTATAGATTTTACCTTTCACATTTATATGTATATTTCTACCGCATAGCATTCCTGTGGGCACATTTTTATGTATCTTTCTACCGCATAGCATTCCTGTGGGCTGTGGCACTTCTCGTTTCAGTCATTCTGTTTTCATTCTATGTGGCATATCTTCGTCTAACTTCTCATTTTTCATTCCATGTGTTATATCATCATTTAACTTATCATTCTCTCAAAATATTGAATTGAGACAGCACAAGAGCAATCCACATTCCACAGACAATAGATGTAAACTGTAAATCTTACTATTCTTGCCTATTGTAGCACAAAGTTTCTTGAGAAATGGAAAGATCTCTAGAGTCAATCGAAAATGAGAGACTAGACTTTCTAGATCATTTTAATCTCCGGGAAGAGAAATTTCTAAGTTCTTTCAACTTTTAGTTTTGCCAAGAGTCTTTCGGAAACAACCTTTCTACTCCCTCGCGCACTCACTACCCTTCCCAGACTCCACTTGTGAGATTGTTGTTGTTGTTGTTTCAACTTTTAGTTTTACATGGATAGACTAATATATAGGTTTGAGCCCCTTCTAACGTGCAAGTTTTGTTTGGACTCTATCCAAGATGAGAAATACCCTAAAATTTTCAGAATACAAGTTTTCCTTTTTTCTTTATAAAAAAGAATTTTCAGAATACAAGTGAGAAAAACCCCCATATATACAGCACCGGAATATTTGGTCTCAATTCACTCCTGCATGCATGTAACTCGTGCTATATATCCCCAAAGCTTCTTGATCTCCTTCCTTGCTTGATATGAATTCTAAGCATTCATTGTAGCGACGAACAAATCAAAGAAATTAATCTTGTATCATAGCACCATCTCTTTCTAAAACTAGTGTTATACAGAAATTCATTTGTTAAAGATTCGACTCCCTCTCTTTTATGGATTTAGTATCAGTTTTGTTAAAGGTTCCCCTTCTGTGCATTTCAGGAGCTGATGACAGATCAATCCATTTGCAGTGAAAGCCAGCTAAATTTTGACTTGTGCTTCGAAGGCTGTGATTGAGAAGAATAGTAGCTGCTGCTTATTTTGATGGTTGACGACTCCACTTGTTGTTACCATGCCTAACTTAGATCTAGTGGTAGTTAGGTCTAAACCATTGTACATATAATATAACCCTCTCCTTTTCCATGCTTAACTTAGACTATAGTTGTATTTAAGTAGAAGTGATTGTAAATACAACCCTCTATTTTCTTGAGGACTTGCTTTTGATACTGTTTTAACTTAGATTCTGGTTGTAAAATCAAGTAGAAGTGATTGTAAATATTAACCTCTAGCTTCTTTTGAGGACGTAATTGCTTGCATCACAGTCGGTGTATTTCCCTCTTACTTTCTCTTTTGATATACGTACCTTCCTGGGGCTAAGGAGAGTGCATCACACTCACATTCACACTAAATTAAATAATATAACCTTAAAAAATTAAGAATTTAAATTGATAGTGCAATCACTTAAATATGGTTAAATGACATACATATTCTTACCAAAAAAAATAGGACACATTTTAAAAATAAATGCTTTATTGATTAAACACTAAATACAAATACTGAGGGGAGTCTTGGGAGTCTGTTTAAACAGTGATCCGAAGTCGTTTTTACCGCAGACTATGAGTTATATGCTGCTAATATTTCAAGGAAGTGTAAGCACGCATTTTCAACAAAATTCTACAATATTGTATGGCAGAGATTGGTAAAACCATTGCACATTGAGATTGTGCTAAATTCAATTTCAAAATTTAGAAAATGGAAGTTAAGTACCTTTTACTAGAATATCGACAATCCAAAAGACAAGTCCATTGAAAACAGACACTACTCGGTTTAAGGCTCGAGCTGTAATTTCCTGGAAAAAGGATATGCTCACTCCTCATACGGAGTTCCCAACGGTATAATACCTCTAATTTGGACAGCGCAATAGGGATGTCATTATTAACCAACGAATCACGTGATTGTTTCGACCACTCCGACGACACAATCCTAGAGTAAACTTTAGCAAAACAAAAAGATTTAAGATTAATAAAGAATAATAGAAGAAACTATAACTTAAGATCTGTGCGACCCACCGCTTCCCCTGGAGGATCTAGAACTTGATTCCTTTTCAAACTTGAGGGCTAAAATTGATCTCCCGATTTCACCTTGTTACAGATTTTCCAGCTCCAAAACCTTGGCTTGTGACCCACCTGTTTAAGATTCAGTGCTTTGATCCGCCTGTGTACTCTCCACTGCTACTGTCACACCAACTTCAGCTGGCCGAATGATTCGCTCATGTAAGGTGTACCCCGACTGCAACAAAAAGTACAATCACGTCTGTTACACATTTAATTTCCAACAAAAGGGATGCCTAAAGAACGTCCTAGATTTGCAATAATCAACAAGGATCAAGTGAATGAAGATTGAAATAGCAAAGACTGCCGCACTGAGAAGAAGTTCCTAACAAGATACCTTGAGACAAACTGCTACCATGCCAGGAGCCTTCTTAGGATCGGGTACTTGGAATATTGCATTATGCTTATTTGGATCAAATTGTTCATTTGTAGGATCATACTTTCCGACACCAAATTTTTTGAATACCTGAAAAGTAACAAAGAGCCGTAAACCAAAAGACGCAACTGAGAAAGATATAATGGAGAACCTCCNCCCCCAAAACCCCCCGCGGGAAAAAATGTAATTCAGTGCACAACAAAAGCACCCCTGAATTTATTGAATGCATTCTACTGGGATTTTCTAATATCCAAAAATGACTTGGAGCTTCTCTTCCAGCTGCATGCGCATATATAGTAAACCCTCTTCGTTGCTTCTTCATTTCAGAAGCTAGTTGGGGCATTTAGCAGAAGTGAATGAGCAGCAATGGATTCTTTCTTTTGCCAAGATATGTTGGCTTTTATACGGCTTTGAAGAGTAATTTTTGGAACTAGCTTGTTGAAATTTCTAATCATAGTGTTTCCCGAAAGACCTAAAATTCCTTATACTGTAACTTATGTTTGTAAATAAAAAGGAAAAAAAAAAGTAGTACGTGCTTCGTAGACAAACAGTCTACCAAGCGGTAAAAGAGGGAAATAAACCATGGAATGTATTTGGGTGAAAAGGTGTACCTCGGCAAGCTGTTTATCAGTTATTTCAACACCTTCCAGTAGTGTTTTCAGAAGTGGCACAGCTCCTGCAGTATCCTTAGATTCATCAATTTTGGAGAAGCTCTCTTTTACAACAGAAGAAGCCCGACCCAAATTATCAGAAACATCTAGAAGCGCTTTCACGAAATTCTGCAGCAGCATTTATGCAAAAGATGAGAGCAAATTACAAGTAACATAATATACTAACAAGTAGATGCATGACTCTCTGGCAAAGGATGTGCCTAGAAAAACTAACTTGAATGGCAAACTTCTTGGAGTTTTCTGCTTCCCGTTTAGTTCTGTTCGTGACATTCTCCATCTCTGCATAAGTGCGAAGAACTTTGTCCTGCATTTTCTGAAACTCATCATCTTTAATCTTTAGGAGTTCTTCCTTCTCAGCCACAAGTTTCACCAAGTCATCCCTAGAAAGGTCCTCTGTATCCAAATCAGAATCAGAATCAGAAGACACAGTTTGTTTAGTACGTCTTCTCCTTCGTTTGACATTTTCATTCATGTTATTATTGGATGCCATATCAGAACCTGATTCATCCTTCTCATCTTGAACCTGAGAATCAGCAGAAACTGAAGCTTCACAATCTCCCTTCACTTTTGTGCTTCCTGGGTCACTTTGAGACTGAGATGTCTCTTTTTTATTAGGTTGGGGAGATGCAGAGGATGAAATTCCAAATCGTTGCAAGGCAGATTCATGGAATAGAGATACCTGATCAGAAAACCGCCATTAGCAGAACCGACAATATTTATGTGAACATAGAAATTAAACAATTTTGTCTTTCGACGGGTAGAGAGTAGCGTATACAGTTAAACCTCTCTATAACAACATCCTTTTATAACATCACTTCACTATAATGGCCATGTTATCCTCGGAACTGATTTTTTATGTTATATTTTACTTCTCTGTAACAACCTTTTACCTATAACAGCAACATCCATCTTTATAACAATATGCTTTTTGTAAAATTACCCCTCTATAACAACCATGTAGAATCTCTATATTACCAATAATAACTCTAGAGAATTTGACCAACTATATTGAAACTTTAATGCACCACTTATGAATTATGATAAAAGAATATTATGTTAAACATACTCCCATAATAAAATTTCATTCAATTCCATTAAAAGATATGCTTGTATATTTTCAGATACCCTTTTACTGAAAGTTTAAGCACAAATCTTCATCAATTTAGGTGTTATATCGCTAGTAAGAGATTGAAATCTACAAAACAAGCTACAATTATAGAGTTCTTCCATTATTCTTGGAAAAAACTACTTTTCAAGTAGCTTTAAAAAGTGTGTTTTAGAGTTTAAATTTTTTGTACACTTTATTATGGATTTATTAGTAATGTATTAGCTTCCTATTTAATTAGTAATACGCATACAATATTTTAAATTCAAATAATCTTTTTTAGTCTTTTATATGCAACATTAAAAAGAAAAGTAAATGATTCTTGGATAATTTTTATCTATAACAACTGATTTATATTTAACCATCAAATGTTGTTATAGGAGTATAACAACCAGTCAATATAAAAACCAAAATATGTCAGAACCAACGAAGCTATTATAGAGAGGTTTGATTGTACATAATTCCTCAAGGCATCAAGTTAGCAGAATGTCGAGTTTACAACTTGAGCAAGTTAAAAGAAATATAGAATTATCAAGATACAATACATTATTTTGATTACAGCAAAAGAACAAGTTAGCAAGGCAACTATTTTTCACTTCATGTTTGCCCGGATATCCTTCGAAAACAGATCCTTCCTCCTATTTTATGATGAAAAACGACGGTCATGTGCTCATTTTTCTCTCAATAGTTTTCCTGATAAAGAGAGGAGAACAGTTGACTGAAGATGATGCTTTTATGAATTTTTTGTTGTCGTGAGAGAATTCAGAAAAATAAAGAAAACAAGTATGATCGTTTAACTATTCATCATCTCAGCTACTTGGACTGATTTTAGGAACAAAAGAGGAAACGAGAGATATTTCAACTCAGTAAAACCACTTTCCTTTTCTCCCTTAAACTGGAGACAGTTCATTGAAAAGGAGTCTATAAGATCTTTACGGCACTTATAAGATATATTTTTGCACATATTCCTTTTGCCACTAATCCCAAATTGAGGAGGTGAACTTCACCTTCTGTTCCTACTAAATTACATCCGCTCCATCCTCTTTGAATCCTTCAGCACAGAGACATCGTCACTTCTCCTCTCCAACACCACACTTGGCTGCTTATGTGTAAAGTAATGCACCCACTGAACATTTTACCGATTTAAAAAGTCGTTACTGAACCGCAATTTCTTTTCCCCCTAACTGGAATATATTATAAGCTATACTGATGAACTATCATTTATAAGGACATTTTATAGCTAAAGGTTAACATGTTACATCTCCTTTCTTAGAAGTCAAAATCATTTTGAACTTCTTTTCTCCATATAGTAAACAATATGAGGTTTCTAATACTTCCAATTATTCAATTAGAGTTCAATCCCAAACTTAACAAAATAAAAAATAAAAAATTTCTCATCTACCTAAGCACTGGTTGGCAGCATTATGCAGGAACTTAGTGGAATAGCCAAGGTGCACACGAGTTGAATGTAGCAAATAGACACCACCATTATAAACAAAAAAAGGAAATATCAAACTTGAAACTAAAACAATTATTAAACATAAGTTGCCAACTTCATCAAAGAAAAACAGCAGCTAAAGTAAGACCTACCCCCTCTATTCCAATTTATGTGGCAAAGTTTGAATAAGCACAGAGAGCTATTTATGTGGTTTTAAGACTTTGAAACTTATGATCTTGTGGCTATAAAAGTTTATCGTTAAGGGTAAAATGAGATGTTTAAGTTTAATTTTTCCACATTAAAAAAGCTTCATTCTTTTTACAATGGACTAAAAAATAAATGTTTCCACATAAACTGGAACACAGGGAGCATATCATATCCTCGACTAGTATCCAAAAAGAAGCCTATGATACAACTAGATTACGATTGCCCCTTAAACCCCAGCAAAACCCTACACGAAAAATCTACGAAAAATGTATTTTTTTAAAAAGAATTTGGCACAAAAATCAAACCTTTTCTTTAAAATCACGAAGTGAGTGGAACTGAGATGCAAGAACGGGAACGTGCTGTTTCCGTTGCTGTTCTCGAGAATAAAGGAGCACCGAGCTGCGGCACTGATTTAATATGGCTCTCGGGAACCGAGATGAAATTCTGCTCACCAACATCTCCAAATTCGGTTTTTCGCTTTAGATTTCAAGGGGGAAAAAAGGAGACAAGTTGAAATGAGAGCTATGAATTGCAATGGCGGTAGGACAAAAGAGCAGAGGAAAGGGTTTTAGGAAGAGAGAGAAAATGAGAGAGGTGGCCGTGTGGCGTGCAGAGAAAGAAAATTGCGAATTGTCGAAACAACCCCTGTCTTGGTCGCGTCATAATACTATTCGGTCTGGAATATTGTGAATGTAAGAGGATGATTGGGTCAATTTAAGAATACTTGCTCGTTTTGCCGTTGTTTTGTAGTTATGCAAGAACCAACTAAACCAGCTAAACCGGCCGGGCCAGCCCGTTAACGACCCGATTCAATCCGTTATTGCCCGGGTCAACTCGGCCCTGTAAGAGGTGCGATGGAATTAGTGGTAGGCATCGGTCGGTTCGGTTCGGTTTTGAATATTATCGGTTTTGCCTATCGATTATCGGTTTACAAATATCATAACTCGATAACCAAACCGATAAGATATTGGTTATCGGGTATCGGTTAATCGGTTATTGATCATTATCGGTTCGGTTATCGGTTTACCCGATAAGGTAAAACTAAAATTAATAGTGTTGATTGCTGAAAGTTTGTACAAAGTTTACTGGAAGCTGCTATATATTGTGGCAAAAGCCGCAGAACGCCAGAACTACAAGCATTTGATGAATTTAAACTTCAGTTTAAACTGCACATAAACTGCACACAAAGCTGCACATAAAACCAACATTTCTCACAATAATTTCAGTTTAAAGTTAAACTTCTCACTGAATAATTTCAGCACACAAAGCTGTACATTTTTTGCCTCAAACTAAACATACCCAGTACGGCAGTACCTCAATTGCCTGTGCATACAAAATGCAAACAACTCAAAATTCCAATCTAACAAAAATAGGAGATAAAAAGATCCCAACTTTCACAACCCAAAAACAGATGTATACACAGTAATGTCCAAACTCCAAAGTAATAGTTCAAACACATTAATAACAATGCAAAGTAGTAGCAACCTTAGGATTAACAAGTCCAAAGTCCAAACATAATACATAAAACAAGATGACAATAACTACATCTTACTTTCCACCATCCATCATCACCTTCTTCAATCCTTTCATAGTGACTCCAAACATGTGAGATAGCTTTGAGACCACAAAGTCGAGGCATGGTTACACCTATTAAACATAACAAGAAAATATATTAAGCAAGTAATATTTGTAATCATACTATGTGTTATATAAGTTGAATAATTAACTTACCAAAGTTTTAACTTACAACTATCTAAGATTCTACATATCATCATCGCAGGGTTCGTTTCCAAGATTGGCAAAATCTATGATAATATATATTAACAAGTCAAACAACAAAAATATTAAATAAACTATTTATAAAAATAATATACAATCAAACAAATTAAAATATTGCTACCTTGTTCTAGTTGCTCGAGAACATCTAAATCTTCCTCAACACTTACAGGTAATGGCTCACTTCGAAGCCAATCTTGAAGGCACATGAGAACTTCCACCAATTTAGGAGTCAATGAACTCCTAAATGAATCAAGAATACGCCCTCCAGTGCTAAATGCACATTCAGATGCAACACTTGAAATAGGAATAGATAATACATCCCGAGCCATCTCAGCAAGAATGGGGAATCTAGGTGAGTTTACTTTCCACCAAAGCAATATATTACCGTCTGCTATTTCATTTTCAACTTCTTCTGTTAGATATTTTTCCAATTCTGATTTAGAATCTGAACCTCCAATCCCAGCTTTATGTCTTTTTAATTCTTCAAAGAAAGAACCAAAAGATCCATTTGAAGTTTCCATTGTGTCCAATGAAGAGTTAGATAAACATGAAGAGGGACGACAAACTTTATCTTTTGAATAAGACTTTACATACTCATCAAACAATGAAGTCATGTATGTATGCACTCCCTTCGCGATAATTGGCCCTTTCTCTTCGAACATCTTCGCAAGTGCAAAACTAATAGAATCAAACTTGTACCGAGGATCCAAAACACATGAAATGAAAATTNTTAGGAAGAGAGAGAAAATGAGAGAGGTGGCCGTGTGGCGTGCAGAGAAAGAAAATTGCGAATTGTCGAAACAACCCCTGTCTTGGTCGCGTCATAATACTATTCGGTCTGGAATATTGTGAATGTAAGAGGATGATTGGGTCAATTTAAGAATACTTGCTCGTTTTGCCGTTGTTTTGTAGTTATGCAAGAACCAACTAAACCAGCTAAACCGGCCGGGCCAGCCCGTTAACGACCCGATTCAATCCGTTATTGCCCGGGTCAACTCGGCCCTGTAAGAGGTGCGATGGAATTAGTGGTAGGCATCGGTCGGTTCGGTTCGGTTTTGAATATTATCGGTTTTGCCTATCGATTATCGGTTTACAAATATCATAACTCGATAACCAAACCGATAAGATATTGGTTATCGGGTATCGGTTAATCGGTTATTGATCATTATCGGTTCGGTTATCGGTTTACCCGATAAGGTAAAACTAAAATTAATAGTGTTGATTGCTGAAAGTTTGTACAAAGTTTACTGGAAGCTGCTATATATTGTGGCAGAAGCCGCAGAACGCCAGAACTACAAGCATTTGATGAATTTAAACTTCAGTTTAAACTGCACATAAACTGCACACAAAGCTGCACATAAAACCAACATTTCTCACAATAATTTCAGTTTAAAGTTAAACTTCTCACTGAATAATTTCAGCACACAAAGCTGTACATTTTTTGCCTCAAACTAAACATACCCAGTACGGCAGTACCTCAATTGCCTGTGCATACAAAATGCAAACAACTCAAAATTCCAATCTAACAAAAATAGGAGATAAAAAGATCCCAACTTTCACAACCCAAAAACAGATGTATACACAGTAATGTCCAAACTCCAAAGTAATAGTTCAAACACATTAATAACAATGCAAAGTAGTAGCAACCTTAGGATTAACAAGTCCAAAGTCCAAACATAATACATAAAACAAGATGACAATAACTACATCTTACTTTCCACCATCCATCATCACCTTCTTCAATCCTTTCATAGTGACTCCAAACATGTGAGATAGCTTTGAGACCACAAAGTCGAGTCATGGTTACACCTATTAAACATAACAAGAAAATATATTAAGCAAGTAATATTTGTAATCGNTTAGTTAACTTCTTAGAAAGCTCCTTCACCGTCACATCATTTGAACTAGCATTATCAACTGTGATAGTGAAAATCTTTTGTAGCCCCCACTCTTTCAAACAATTAACAATACTATTTGCCCAATAACAAATAGTAAAGGGTAGACTAGTAAATTAGTAAACCCTTATTGGGTTATCGATTTACCCAATAACAGAATTGATAAACCGAGCCCAAACCGATAACCCAATAAGAATTTTTTTTTTACCCGTTACCGAACCATTAGCCCAATAACCCAATACCGATAACCCAATAAGAATTTTTTTTTTACCCGTTACCGAACCATTAGCCCAATAACCCAATACCGATAACCCAATAAGTAATTAACGGTTCGGGTTATCGGTTTTACCCGATATATGCCCACCCCTAGATGGAATGGGTTGTATATGGGGGTTGGTCCGGACAGGGGCGGGCTTTTTTTGTTACCGGTGCACCAGAGCCTGGTCAGCCTGGTAAGGAGTTACCGTTTCCTTATCGAGGTCCAGCCCGATAACAGTAATTTTTAATTATAAAAAATGAATTTTTACATTCCTATGTCATATAGTAAACGACATTACACTACATACTTAACTTTTAATATAATTACCTTTTGTATACCTATGTATCATTTTAGGTTTTTAATGGTATTAATTAGTCTCCTAATTTTACTCAACCGTATATTCACACTCCCCCAAGTTTCTCTCTCCAAATCCCCACGATTTCCTCTTCAATCACCCACGATTTCCTCTTTTAAAACCAGCGAAACTATGTAACCCCTCCACAATTGACAACCATTAAAAAGTTTTGAAGCTTTGAATTCGAATTTGAGTTTTCAAAAGACATTGTTTGTTTGGATTGGATGTTGCTGCAAAGAATTGAGAATTCTCTCTACGTCTCTCTCTATCTCTCAATCCCAAATTTCTGTAATATAAGAGGAAAGGAAAAGAGAGCAGCAATTCCACCATTGACAGCCATTAAAAAGCTTTGAATTTGAATTTGGGTTTTCAAAAATCATTATTTGTTTGGATTGGGTGTTGTTGCAAATAATTAGGAATATAGTTTGGAGTTTATATCTCAATTTTGAGGGGTTTTGGTGAAGATTAGACTTGGTTTTGGCTGAATTTCAGATTGAAACTCGTCGAAGAAGAAGAAGAATAAGACATGGCATACATTATATTGCAGAAATGGTAGGAAAATTGTAGAAAAAATACATTCTGTTGTTTATTTATTTTTCTTTTATTCATTTAACTATTGTATAAAAGTTGAACAACATTTGTATAAAAATTATATTTAAGTGGTATTATATTGTATATGTATATGAGTTTGTATGTAAGTTTTATGTTATTGTAGTTGTACTTAACTGAGTGGAAATAATGTGTGAAAGTTGTAGAAAATTGTAGATAAGTTGTATTCCTCTATAATGAGAGATGTTGGCATATCAAGTAGCTTTAGTGTTCCAGACGAACATGCATGAAAATAAAGATAAATTCTGTTATGAACAGTTTGTAGAAATTTTGTAGATAATTTGTAGAAACATTGAAATTCTGTATTTCATATTAATTTTTCAAATGACATGTAGTTTTATTGTAGAATAAATGTAGAAATTTTGTAGATATTGTAAAAATCCATAATAATATATGTATTTTACTCTGACATGTAGTTTATTTTGTAGATAAAGTGTAGGACATTGATATACAACCAGAATTTGATAGAAAATGTAACAGCACAAACCTGCAACTGTGTTCTCATTGGTGATACTCAATTCCATATTGAAATCACGAACAGTTATACATAGCGGATATGATCCTAACAACTTGTTTGGATGGTTGTTACACGTCGTTTCATAATGTATCGTATTGTATTGTACTGTATTGTATCGTTTGATGAATATAATGTTTGGATAGATTGTATCGTTTGACGTTGTTTCATGATATCAT